GTGATGGTAAACTTAAAATCCGGGTCCACCTTATTTATGTAAATAAGAAGAAAGAATACTGCACACCAACAGGAAGGTGGTATTTAATGAAGAAGTTAAAAAAAATCTAGAACTCCTTCAGTGAAAGAACTCAGACATTAAAAACTGAGTTCCACATAAAACAGCCTTGCTGCTTGAAGCCCAGGCTCTCCTATCCTGGAAAGCAGTCTGGAAGAAAATGTTTGTCATCTGATATTGTGAACGTGTGCGTCTGTGTGTGATATGCATATTTGTGGCAAAACTAGATGGCAGAGCAAAAAGGAGTCATTTTAGAAGCTGGAGCCCAACAAGCCCCAAGAGGCATTCACTAGGATCCCCAAACAAAAGTGTAAGAAACAGCTTAAGAAGAACACGGTGCCGAAAAACCAAAACCTGGGGAGCTGGGGGAGAAGACAGAGGGCTCCCAGCAGCAGTGTTTAATGACGGGCTTTGCCAGCTGGCACACCTGGATTCCCACCTATACAACTTACAGGTCATATTGACTAAGAAAAACTATTTCATTTCCCAGAGCCTTGGCTCCTTTATTGGTAAAACAGGAAGAACAATAACCACGTTATGGAGTTATTGCGACATTTAACTGAGATATTAATACAGGTAAAATATCTGGCACAACTCCCTGATGTAAGTGCTTAATAAATGCAGGCTAGTGTTATTGGGGGGTAAACAGAAATGCGCGCGGGGCAAATGCAAACGAAATCCATTCTCTGAACTTTGTTTAATGCGCCACTCAGTGCGTATGGGATAATGTAGGCTGATATTCCTATGTTAAAAGGGAGATGCAAGAGGGAGGAGATATGGGAACATATGTATATGTATAACTGATTCACTTTGTTGTAAAGCAGAAACTAACATACCATTGTAAAGCAATTATACTCCAATAAAGATGTAAAAAAAAGAGGCTCAGATAGCAGGCGTATAGTGTTACTGTGAAGTTGAAATAAAATCACACAAACACGATTATGTAAAACTGGCACATGGTAAGCATGCAACAATTCTTAGGCCTTATTTTTACTATGAAACTATCTCTTACCTTATGTGTGTACCTGACATTAATCACCATGCTAGAAGGACAATGCTATTGTGAATATACAAGTCACAAGAAGGAAAGTAAAAAATGAACAATAAACATGGGAAAATGCCTAACAAAAATATAAATTAAAGCAAAGATACGTTTTTTTTCTACATGATGCAACACAATTTTTTTTTTAACTCAATGATAAGCCCTAGTGATGCTAAGTATTCATTAAAATAAGCTTGGTTATATGTTACTGTTGGGAAAGCAGATAAAAATGACCTCTTAGGGCTTCCCTGGTGGCGCAGCGGTTGAGAGTCCACCTGCCGATGCAGGGCACGCGGGTTCGTGCCCCGGTACGGGAGGATCCCACGTGCCGCGGAGCGGCTGGGTCCGTGAGCCATGGCCGCTGGGCCTGCGCGTTCGGAGCCTGTGCTCCGCTACAGGAGAGGCCACAGCAGTGAGAGGCCCGCGTACAGCAAAAAAAAAAAAAAAAAAGACCTCTTAGAAAGTCATTTAGCAATATGTAATAAGAGCCTTCAAGTGTTCAAAATCTCTACCCAGTAATTCCATTTCCTAAGGTCAACCTATGGAAATACTTAAAATACAGGGGAAATATATATAAATGTGTCTCTGTAGTATTTCTTCCAAAAGTAAACAATGGGAAACAACCTATATAGTTAACAAAAGAGAAATAGTTGCTTATGTAGTTTCTACTTTGGCATATTTATTCAATGATTTCATTGAATCAGCTATTGAAAATAATGCCAATAAAAAGTTTAAAATAACATATTAAAAGCTTACACTGTCATGTTAAGGATAAAAGCAGAATATAAAACTGTTTAAATAGCAGGTTCGCAGAATATAAAACAACTTACTAATAACTGAAAGAAAATATACTGCCTTGATAGTGATTATCTGAGTATGCTAGCAATTTTTCTGTTTTTCTATATTGCAACGTTTTTCCATAACAAACATAAATTTTTTTATAACAGTGATAAAAGTCCAATGACATTTCCTTTAAACATTCCAGCAGCAAGATTCTCTAGTGCAGGGGTCAGAGAACTATAGCCCATGGGTCAAATCCAATATGCCACCTGCTTTTGTAAATAAAAGTTTTATTAGAGCACAGCTCCACTATTTAATTTATGTATTGCTTACAGCTGCTTTTGCACTAATATGGCTTTTGAGTAGGTGCAATAGGGACTGTACAGCCCACAAAACCCCAAATACTTACTATCTGACTCTTGACAGGGAAAATTTGCCAACCTCTGATTTAAAACACTGCACCCCGAAGGTCTGACATAGCCTAACAGCTTGAAAGTTGATGTTTTAACATTCCAGTAGAAAGTGCTTGTCCAAGGATAAAATGGCGATGATTCTCAGGTGGCTGATTTTCCTTTCCGATTTTACAACTGCTACACAGACATGTTTAGGTTTCTCCATTTAAGACAGGCCATTGACAGTATTTGCTATTAGTCAGTTTAGCCTGTAGTATATAGAGTTCAAAAGAAGCGTGCAAAGTGAGAATTCCAAGGAGGACAGCTTTCACTAAAGGATAAAGATGCTTTCTAATGCTTGAATTATCCAGATATGTGACTCTTGCTCGGGCATCCTAGCGCCCCCTGGGATGGGATTACATTTGAGACAGGACAAACACTTAGAGGATATGTTTCAGAGAAATAGGCAGTGAGGCTGAGTAAGTACTGCACTCTTTCCACCTTGCTATCCAAGCAGAGTGATTAAAAATATGGGATCTGGGGAGAGATGGGAGTCAAAAGCAGGATCCATCACTGACCATTTGGGATACCCAAGTCATTCAACTTTGGCAACATATCCACAGTCTGATTCTGTACCTTTTGTTTACATATACCATAGAAAGGAAGCTCACTTCTTTTTCAGGCAGCCCATTCTATAGCTGCCCTTTATATATAAATATCAAAAGAGCTTACCTTACATTTTTGCACCCCTTAACCCTTGGCACGATATTGGGAAGTTGCAATAGATTTATGTTCTCACTTGTAATGATCAAAGGCCATTTAAGCATTACCTCCTCCTCCCTGTAGCTCCACCCACAGGGCCTGCACTGGGACTTGGAGGTATGTGAGAAGAAGAACATAAATGTTTCTTAGCTGTCGGTGTCTCTCCCTCTTTGGGAACATCTACTGTTCTTCCTGGCCTGTGCTAAGCAGAATCCAAATGTTCGGCAGAGCCTATGTGATCTCTTCTTTAGGCCTGTCAGGTCTTCCACAGTTGCCTAAGGTAAGACATGCTAGTCCATCTCTTAAGTCTCTCAGGTCCCCCACTGGCTATATACCTTGTAGCCTTTGATGCTGTGGCCTTCTAGCTCTAGCCCACCATCCTCGGTGGCTATTTGTACTCAAGGGACTCCTTTCTTTGTTCTTATTTGACCTGTGGGGCTTCTCACATCCTCACTAAATGGTGGGGGTGGAGGATGCTTTCTCTGTCGCCCTGTCACTCTCTCATTTCTTCTCACCTGCATAGGTAGACACCAGTGCAGGGTAAGCAGCCTAAGCAGACAGTCAAGATTTATGAGTGGTTCCCTTGGATCCACTCCCTTCTCTTGGCTTCAGAAAAGTATAAGAAGACTTCAGTGTACATTCTACTAGCCCAACAACTCATGACTCTGACAAATTTCCTCCTTCTTTTACCACTCGCTCAAAGTGTCTTTTTCACACTGATTGATATGGGAGGTAGGTGGGGGTCTGGGGTGAACAAGCAGAACTACATGAATACCTCTTAATAACCCCCCAAGGGAGATTTCTGCCTGTGATTGTTTGTGGCTCTACACAGATGTTTTGGTTACCTAATGATTCCTTAGAGCTCTGAGTCCCAGTCATAACTTTGGAGCAACAGCCAAATCCCACTCAACAGTTTGTTACACAGTCATTGACTGGCCTTATCATGGTTAGCTAACATGTGTTCTAAGAAGTGCAGTCCCAGGAAATGCTTCACCTGGAATTCCCTTCATGAAGAATCACTGTGAATACAAAGGGCTTTGACAAGTCTCATAGTTTAGCTTTTTTAAAATGAGCACTACTTTACAGTGTATAAAATGTTTTCCTTTATATATTTCTCTCATCCATTCACCCACTTATCCATTCAACCATCCTACGTTTATTGAGTACCTGATCTACCCAAGGTTTGCATTAAATGCATGTTTTGGAAAAGTTATCTGTAATCTCATTCATTCTTCACAACAGTCTTTGGAGTCAGATGCAGCAGATAATCTACTATTTTTGTATTGCAGATGAGGGATGTGAAGGTCAGAAATGTTGATTACTTCTTCCAAGGTTACACAGCTATTAAGAGAGGGGATGGATTGGAAGAGGAGAAGAAGCTGGGACTTAATTAGCATTGTGACATCTTAGACTACTCAAGAATATTTTAGGAACAAAGCACATCTACAAGGAAGGAAAGTATGGGAACAAATTCTGAATTCTAACACAAATCTATCATTAGGATTGAATGCCAGGACTACATCAGATTTTCAAATATAATTGTGAGGCACTGGTCTGCATATTGCAGTGACACAACTGAGTAAACATGGATGGAGTCTCATTTCAAAACTCTTCAATTCTTCTTTCTTTTAAATTTGATAATGTGATTTTAAATGCCAAAAGTCTCATTTTGGACACTGGTTAGACTGGCAGACAAGCCAACGAATGACAAAGAATAAAATTGTTTAATTTGGCCAAACAACAATAGACTGTCTCTAGCAGTGGAAGCCTAGCTGGTGTCGGGTTATTCTGGATTCAGTGAAAACCTTTGTCAAAGCATCTATCAGACATAGGAGAATTCCAGAAACTCTATTTGAAGTGTGAGTACTGGAACTCAACAGCAAGGGTTGGGTATGTCTGGAACTGGAAAATAAAGTTTCACACAATACTAAATATAACTTCCTGCCAGGCAGGTAGGAGCTACTCACCAAACTGTGATGGTGTCAAGATCCAAAAACCATGAATAAGGCCGATGTTTTGACAACTGAAATTGCTTTCAAGACGGGTAGACCTGCCCTATTTCAGGGGAGACAAGAATTGTAGGAATTCGTTAATTTCCTCTCACCTCCAAACTTTCCAAACTTCAAATATGGCAAGTTCATCATTTACTTTAGTATAAATTGAATTTAAACCAAGATAATGAAATTACATCTTTGGCTCACAGCAGACTTTTCCATGAAAAGAAAACTTGGAAAATCTATTTGCCAAGACAACTTAGAAAGAAGTAAATAGGAATGGTCAGAGGAAACTCAGTGTCATCAAACAACACAGACCAGACAATGCCTCTTAGAACTTCTACTTTTCCTGTTTTCTGTCAGGTAGTAAAAGGCCTGTCCTCTTCCTTGCTGTATTACCAGCTCCCAGGACAGTGCTGTGTCCTGCACATGAATAAAGGGACTCTCAAATCATACCTGCTGGAGCCCATGAACAGGTAGTTCCTATTTCTGAAAGTAGCAAAATTGTTGGTGTGACTGAGATGTTCACATTCACAGGGTAAATATGTAGCCCTGAGGATGAAATCAAGCGTTCTTTATTTCTTCAGAAATGAAGTTCAGATCTCCCCAGAATGAAAGCAGGCAAGTTTCTCAGAGTTTGGCAAAGCTGAACCTTGGCAAAATTGTGAGGTATTCATTTTGGCTACATTTTTTAGGAGGCCTTGTGTCCCCAAGTACCTAACTTTGGTATGATATCCTTCTACAGCTCAAGGACTGGGAAATGCATTACCTCACTGTTTCCTGGAAAAATCCTGCTTCTCATTCCTTTAGAGCCTTGCTGACTCATGGTTTCAAGTTCAAGAGTGACACAGAGCTGGAGGAGATAGCCCACATGATAGGCAACAGTGTCAGGGTGACAAAATTAGGTAGAAAAATCAGGCTGAAATATAGTACATGACATGGAGGATGATGCCCCACATTCTGACTTAAAAATTTCATGATTTGATGTCAATGGAGAAGACCAGGGTGGTTTGCAGATTATGTTAAAAAAATCTAGAAGGAGGAGAGGTAAGGTAAGTATTGTACTGCAAGTTGACGCTGGGCCAAGAGTGTAATGTAACTTAGTAGACACGGGTGGGGGTGGGGAGGTGGGTGGCTCTAGAAAGAAATACTCGGGGACATTCAAAGAAATTGAATGGTCATAACATCACATCACATCACATCACAGGAACATCACAAGCAAGTCTGCTATGCCACTTCCTGTGTCATTTAATATCTCTAAGCCTCAGGGTTTCCATCTATATAATAGAAATAAGAAAACCAACAGTGCCTTATTCCCAGTGTTATAATGAGGATTAAATGACATAATGCAATTACAAGTTGTTCTGATCATTAGTGTCATTTTTTAACTGTAACAATAATAAACTCAAAGTCTGAAGAATATTGGGACATTTTGAAGAGTACTGAAAGAATGAAGATGGATATAAAAGTTTCAGTTTCATAGAAGAACTTGGTAGAATATGTAAATTATAAATACAAATGTACATAACACAAGTTAAAAATGTACATCAAGCTAGACTTTCTTTTTTGAACCAGGGATCTCATTCTTTAATAATAATTCCATTAGAAAATTTCAATATTAAAGTTATGGTTGGCAACAGAAATTCACAGATATTTGGTCATTCAATTTAATTTTTCTGTGTTGTGTTTTGCAATAAAACATATACCTCTCTGAAATACTATAACAGGATAAAGAAAACCATCAGATTGGGCTATATTAAAATACTCTAAGTTGCATTAATAAAATCATATACTTACCTCAACAGTATAATAATTAAGTACCTAATAGCCTCTCATAAAATCAAGGAGGGAGAAAGAATATGTTTACATTCTCCTATGGTAGGAGTTGTTCTGTAATTCCTTCTAGGAAATGCTTCCCCCAAGTCAAGCTAGACTTTTTGATTGGATGGGATTTTCCCTGGACACTTCAGATGGATCTCTTTCTCACCAATTTTGTTCTCATGTGTTTGCTGCCTACAGCTGATGTTCCAACAGCCATGATGCCTTTTTTTTTTTTTTTTTTTGTGGTACGCGGGCCTCTCACTATTGTGGCCTCTCCCGTTGCGGAGCACAAGCTCTGGATGCGCAGGCTCAGTGGCCATGGCTCACGGGCCCAGCCGCTCCGCAGCATGTGGGATCTTCCCGGACCAAGGCACGAACCCGTGTCCCCTGCATCGGCAGGCGGACTCTCAACCACTGCGCCACCAGGGAAGCCCCATGCTGCCTTTAGTCTTTGGGCCTTTCTATCACCAGACCCCTCCGACCTGGAATGTTCTTCTCCTTCCCTTTTCCTTTATCTCTTACCCCCAAAGAGAAACTGTATGTATGTATTTTGTAGTTGACAATTGTTTATAT